TCATTAGCATGAAGCAGGCTTTTCCTCAAAACCGCATGCTAGACCAGAGGGAAGATCTCTGGTTGGCGGTTTATAAACAGCGAAGATGACTGTGAGTAGCAGCAGGTGACTTCCATTTCAAGCTCAACAACACCTTGTGGGAAAGAATCAGATCTCTCATCTCTCTGTGTCCATCTCTGTCTGCACACACACACACACACACACACACACACACACACACACACACACACACCCCTTTCTATAACCTAGACATTTCTCCAGCCCACATTCAGCATGTGGCATTTGCTTCATCCCCAGACTTTGTGACTCTGCTTACATCCATTGATAAATTCTGGGTTCTCACTCCTTCTCCTTTTCTCTTCGGTGCCCTACTCCTCTGAAACATGATTTATGGATCAAGCATTGTGTAGTCTGTTCATAATTATACCACTGAAAACACTGTAGACAATGTCTGGTCTTTGTCCAGATGAAACATTTTACAGTATCCAGATAGCTCCCATCTCTTTGAGGTGATTTCCTCTCTGGCATAAATTCCTCCATTTGTCCTCCTGCTGATTTGTGTACAGACAGGTACATGAAATAAGTCTTACAAGACAAAAATCAAATAACCCTAACTCATGGTGAAGAAAGAATACCGCTGAGGTGCTACTCACCCCCAGATAGGTCACTTTGCATGAATGATATAGGATTTGGTGTGCAAGGATGTAGCAGTATAGGGCTGTTGGTGTGGCTGCCATTCTATTTAACATAATCTGTACAGTGAGATACCATGATCTAGATAACTTATGTTGCTCCACAGTGTTCTTGAATAACTATGAGGAGGTTTATTACCCACTGCAATCCAATAATGCGAGTGTACCTGGACATGTCTTATTTTAGTGCATAATTCTTTGATTCCTTTGAATTTGTTTACAAAATGTTGTTTTTACATACAGCTACCTAATTATAAGTTTCGTAGACATCACATTTATTGTAAAGAGACAGTGTGTGTCTTTGTTCATCTTGTTATACATTATAAAATCTTGAACATAGAAAGTTTTCAACAATGTATATGAAATTAAAATATTGGGCAGATTTTCAAGTTGAAGTGGTATGTAAAATACTATTTATAGTAGTGAATTCTTGTTATCTATGTGACGTTCTTCCAAAAAAGTAGCATTCACTTTTGATTAAAAATATTATATTGCATATTTTGAATACTTTGAAGGTCTAAACACAGTCAGTTGTAGAAAGTGTGCAGCCTGACTTGTAATTTCTAGTTAATATAACAAGCAAGTTACATCATCATAGCCTCATGCAGGATTTTCTGCTACTGTCAATACATTCTCAGCTATTGTGTCAAACAACAAAGGCAGACATATCTAAGGGCCAGTAAGTAATGAGCAAGCATATTAAAGTGAAACAGCTTTATAAAAGGACTGAGAGTTTTAGCGAGGCTCTGAGATGCTATGATGCCCTTCCTCCTGTATTGAAAACATGCCACTGATTTCTGACATGATTCATGAACCTTTTCAATGACCAGCTTTCTCTGACATTTAACCAGAATTGTGTTCTAGGGTTTTGTCTTATTTCACTGGTAGTATCATTTCTAAGTCCAACAATTCGACAGTAAAACACTGCACTTGAAACTTGATTTTGTTTTTTGTTAGTAGTAATCTTTCAATAGTGTCTAGATTTATGAATCTCATCAAAATGAATATTTCTCTATGTCCTGAAAATCCATGTCAGCATGAAAATAGCAACGTGGACACCTTGTTGCGACATGAGGCCTGACAGTCACATAATGCTAAAAGCTAACAGCAGCATGTAGAGAGCTGAACTAAGCTGCAGACTGATCTGAGAGAGCAGGTAGATGCTTCCACTGTGTGTGGTCCCTGTTTATCATTTTGAAGCACTTTCTCAACCAAACAAAATCCTTAGAATTATTTTGATATGGTCATAAATAAAAGTAAAAAAAGAAAAATCAAAATAAGATATCTATTGTCATTTCTTAACACCTACATGTCAAATCAAATAATGTATTCGTACGTGACAATAAGTACATAAAAGGAACTTTGCTTCAGTTATGAACAGAAAGCAAGCCCAGGACAGAAGAGATAGTTATGAATTCTTACACTAATAAATGTGAGAGCTTCCAGGATCTAGACAGATGGCTGAGTGGAGAACACTTGCAAACAAGAGAACCTGAATTTAAATCTTTAGCACCATACAAAAGCCAGGCATGACCCCAGTGTTAAGGGTGGTGGGTTCCCCCAAGGGGGCTCCTTGCTTAGCCAGTCTAGCAGAAATGGCGAACTCCAAGTTCAGCGAAAGATATTCGCTCAAAACATAAGATGGAGAGTGATAAAGGAAGATGTTTGATAATGTCTTCTAGTTTCCAGTCTCATGAAAAAAAAGTAAGTACACAGAGAGAGAGAGAGAGAGAGAGAGAGAGAGAGAGAGAGAGAGAGAGAAAGGAAGGAAAGAATGAAGAGAAAAGATAAATTAACAAAGAAAAAAGGGAGAGAAGGAAAAAGGAAGGAAGAAAGGAAGGAATGAAGGCTGAGAGGTTAGAAGCACTTGCTATCTCCAGGACAGCGGTTGAATCCTATCACCCACTTCCCACTACTAATAAGTGAGTAACCCAACCCCAGTATCAGATGCCCTCTTTTGGCCTCTGTAATGTGCATAAGTCTACCCAAACACACAATCATATACCAAAATAAATACTAAATCTTTAGAAGTCAAGGAAGGAAAAAAGGGGAGAAGCTTCCAAGCTATCACATCACACATTCGCTGGATAGGAAACAAGAGAGTGCTAGAATTTCAGGCTGGTGGGAGAAGGGCAATGTCAGGCTAAGATATGAGAAGACAGTTACAGGTATGAACTACAAGAGGAAAGACTACATGGAGCAATACACAGCCACAATAAGCATATTGAAATTAGCATGCCCTCTTTCTTCTTTGGGGATTTTTTTTCACTTAAATAGAAATGAATTCTGACTGCCACAGTATTCACTTGGCAGGAAATCAGGCAATTTATATTTCAGATATGATCTCATCATCAGTTCCATCTGTTGACATTGCCTACACATCGTAGCATTGGGGCTCAGAGACAGAGAAAAGAGAACCTTAAAATGAAACTCCCTAACCCAGAGACTTGTGGGCCACCCATTAAGTGTTCTCTCTCTTATCTTATAAGCACGGTGTGTTCACTTTAAATATTCCCTTCAAATCCTGTAGACTCTCTAACCTACCTCAAAAAATTTTAGGAGGAGAAGCCAGGCAGCAACTGCAAAATGAACTCACACTGCTCTTAAACAATCTTACTGGGACTAGAGAGAACACTTAATTCATGCCAAGCTATAAAATAAAACACTGAGTGGCTAACAGGCTCTGATCCTAGCAAGTCTTTGTTTCAGGAATCTTTTTATCAATTCAAAGAATCTTTTTCATCGTTATCTCTCAAATTATAAGTCAAAATTGAGGGCTGAGGAAGTAGGCATGAAGACATCGTTGTGGCTGACAGTCTCATTCCACTTGCAGGGTTATTTGGGTGAAGAACAGGGCAGAGAGCACATCCTTTACCCAGATGCACCCCAGCACCTAACCAGCACCCCGTCTCCAACAATCTTGCATTTTCTCAACCTTCAGGACCCAACTCAAGTGGTTTCTTCTCTGTGATGCTCGTTCCTTGTCTCGTCTAGAAAGGTTCAGCAAGCCCTCCTGGTGCCCAGCACCTCTGTCAGGACCGCTGCCATTGCGCTATACAATTGTCTCATTTGGAGGACTTCGTCCTATCCTTCCACCATGTGACCTGGGAACTGAACACTGTTCACTGGTACCTTTATTTTCTGAGCCAACTCGCCAGCCATTCCAGAATTGTTGTTTGTTCGGGGGTTTGGGACAAGGTGTTGTGTAGCCCTGGCTGGCTCTAAACTGCTTCCTCATGCACAGGAAGCTGCCCTTGATCTCTTACTTCTGCCTCTCAACTATTACTATATAGGCACGTGGTACATGTGCATTTTCTACTGCATTTTTTAAGTTTGGTCACATTTATTTGAATGTTAATGTCCCCTTATAAATCTGAGTTCTCATCCCCTCACTTGTTGACAATCTGCTTCATGTCCACCCTTTTTCTGACAGGACAAGGAAAGCTTAATAAATAATGACACCCTGTGTAGTCTTTCTGAATCATAAGATGAGACTGAGAGTAATACTGCCTCAATAAATACCATGCTACTGTTTTCTTGTACATCTTTTCTTCCATAGTTAAATCAAAAATATTTCTATTCTTTCAATAGGGAAAACTAAAACTGTTGTTAAAACAAACTCTGTTTAGAGTGTAAAATAACAACTGGTTTCATAAAATTGTTATTGACACAAGGGGTTGTACAATCGGGTTCTGCTTTATCTCATCAAAACTATATCTAGAGCAATGCAATATTCTCCAACAGAGGGCTTTTGAGATTTTACACAAGTATACTGTGGCAACTTCATCCAATCAATATCTTTTTTTTTTTTGGTTTTTATGAGACAGGGTTTCTCTGTATTGTTTTGGAGGCTGTCAGTCCATCCTGGCCTCAAACTCACAGAGATCCACCTGCCTCTGCCTCCCGAGTGCTGGGATTAAAGGGCCACCACCGCCCGGCTAATCCAATCAATATCTTAAGAGAGTTTGTTGTCATGAGTAATGAAAACAAGAAAAAGCCAGTCAGTGGTGTTGAACACCTTTAATCCCAGCACTCAGGAGGCAGAGGCAGGCAGATCTCTGTGAATTCAAATCCAGCCTGGTCTACAAAGCTACACAGAGAAACCCTGACTCAAAAACATCCAAAGGAAAAAAAAGCAAGAAAAAAAGATTCTTAAATAATGACTTATGTTTTCAAGATTCTGAATGACCTGTGTGTGTTTTAAATATGAAAAATATTGGTAAGGATCTAGCCTCTACATAAGTCAAAAGGAATGTCTCTATGTAAGTTAAAAGCATGATTTTATTAACTGTCTTTTCTCCCTAATAGGATATTCAATACTTCAAGCTATTATGGAAAAAGCAGGACAGAATGGATGGCATGTCAGTGCAATATGTGTGGAAAATTTTAACGATGTCAGCTACAGGCAACTGCTAGAAGAGCTTGACAGAAGACAAGAGAAGAAATTTGTAATAGATTGTGAGATAGAAAGGCTTCAGAACATTCTAGAACAAGTAAGTCCTGGCCTTCATCTTATTTACTCAGGTGTTCATTGGATAAAAATGGTGACCCATTCCAGATCTGTCTCCATACATCTTCGAGTTCACAGTATGAGTATTAGCAATCTCCCATGGTTTGTCTCCAGGAAAACAATGACAGCTCTTTACTACCACAGGCCATTTAGTTCTTACGTGCAGTTGGAGGTAGGAGTATGGCTTTTCCACCTTCTAAAGCTGTAAACAGTAGAAGAACACTTTCTTAGTCACTGGGAGTTCTTAGCCTTCATTAATATGAATTTTGAAGACTAGTGTCATCAAAATGTTGGAGAATTTTTTCTTTTTCCTCTCCTTTTTTTATTTAAATTAGAAACAAGCTTGTTTCACATATCAATTCCAGCTCCCTCTCCCTCCCCTCCTCCCTCACCCCCCACCAGCCCCCAAACTCTAAACCAATCCCCACTCTGCTCCCCAGGGAAGTGAGACTCTCCATGGGGAAGCTCCAGAGTCTGTCATATCATCCAGGGCAGGGCCTAGCCCCCACCCATGTGTCCAGGTTGAGAGAGCATCCCTCCAAGTGGAATGGGCTTCCAAAGTTCACTCATACACCAGGGATAAATACTGATCTACTACCCGAGGTCCTGTAGATTACCAAGGCCTCCTCACTGAAAACCAGATTTAGGGGATCTGGATAAGTCCCATGCTGGGCTCTCAGCTCTTATGACAGAGGGAGTCATTAAAGGTTCAAGGAGAGATCTGGCACTAGTGAGATTTACAGAGATCTGCAAGTATGACACCAACTGGCAGTATAAGCAATAGTGGACAGGCTACCTTAAATGCCCTTCCCTGATAATGAGATTGACGACTACCTTATATGGCATCCTAGAACCTTCATCCAGTGACTGATGGAAGCAGAGGCAGACACCCACAACTAAACACTGAGCTGGACTCCTGGAACTGAGTTGCAGAGAGGGAGGAGCAAAGGGGTCAAGCCTGGGTGGGTGAAACCCACAGAGACAGCTGACCTGAACAAATGGAAGCTTATGGGACCTAGACTGATTGTTAAAGGGCCTTTTTATGTCTGTGAGAGTTAGTTGCATGAAAATTATCATCATAAATTAGCAAAGCAATGAAATAAAAGATGATTAGGTAAAACATTTTGTGCTGTTATGTTTCTATCAGATAGTTTAAACAAATGCTACCTGTCAATTATAAAGACAATTTTTCAACTTCCTTTAGAAGGGAGACTCTTTGAAAAAAGATTCCAATAAAAAGCTATTGACTAGAGTTGAAGAGGGCAGGAAAAGAGAGAACTGAGCTGTGCCATTGTGTTAAGTGGTAGGAAAGCAGTATGCAGTTATAGATTGCATTCACGTTCCCTGACCTGATCATAGTGATGAAACCGAGACAGTCTTCCACCAAAATGGAAGTGCCTGTGTGCCATCTAGTGGTGATGTGGAGGTTTGCTCGTATTTATCCACATTATATTTGGAAAAGTGTAATTCAGAGTTGATTAACTCATTATGTATACTTTAACTGCCCAATTGTATGATTGGATTTAGAATAGGAAACCTATCAGTTTAGAGTTCATTTACAACACTCATTCACTTTAGTATTCAATGATATAACTTAAAGCCAAAATATATCTGAAATTCCTCCTTAACACACAAGTTCTGGATTGTGTATCACTGTATTTCATATATTAGCATTTCTGTATTAGCACTTCTATATTTCTACATTAGAAATTCATATGTTAGTGTTTCTGGATTGAGCGTCACTAGTTTTTATATATAGTAGCATTTTCCTGTACAGATTAGCTCTTGGAAAAGCTTATCATAAAATATATTTTGAATTTTTAAGATATGAAAAAATATTGTACTGTAAGAGGAATTGACAAAATATCTACTTCTTGTTATCCCTTTGTAAAAGAAAATAATAACACTCCACTGAAGAGAATACCCATGCTGTTTTGTTAAACTAATTAAACTAAGTCTACAAATCACTTAAGTTTACTCCACAGTAGCAACGCAGGTAAATGAAACTCACAGTGATCAGTTGGGGAATTCCTAGGAAACCTCCTCCCTGACCTTCACAGGCAGAGCAGTGTCCCCAGCTCCAATCCCACTCTGCCCCGTCCGTACTCACTGCCCCTGGAGTGAGACTTGCATTGCTTGACCTGAACAGCTGAAGCTTTGTAAATAACTCAGGATAAATGCCACCGAGCGACCAATTCTAACAGCTTCCAGGATTGCCCAGTGCCGGTTAGAGGCTGAGTGAGTCTCAGAGACATCCTCCACTCAGCACCTGGGCTTCAAAGGCCCAGGCTGGGGCACAGAAGTCAGTGCTAAAAGCCCACTGGTCCGTTTTAGAGGCTTAGCTTGTTTCTAAGAAAAGTGGCATACCTGCATACTTAGGATAAATTCAGTCTTAAATGACTCTATGGAGAAACTGGCCTCCTCCTTCTCTTTGTCCTCCTTCTCTTTGTCCTCTTCCTCCTCCTCCTCCTCCTCCTCTTTTGTCCACTAACATTTCAAAAAATTAGAAACCCGAGTGTCTACCATTCCTATTCCTTTTTGTTAAAGTGTAGCTGATTTCTTCACTATCAGGGCCACCTATATAGGAATAAATAGCAAACCTGTGACTCAGGTAGACATTTCATAAAGCATGACAAAATCCACTGCCCTGTAAGGAGGTGTCTTCTTGCTTGGATAATAATGGTTCCTTCCTCCTGCAAGAAAAACTGTGTCTTATTGGAAACTACTGCATTTCATAGCTCTAAACAAGATCACTTGTAGCATTTCTTGGTTTTATTCTGTTTTGTGATGATGCAGATTGAACCCAGGCCCTCCTTGAGTGTATTTGAAAGGAATCATATCACTGAACTACATCTCCAGCTCTTGATTTTACTCTTGATTCTGTCTTAAGAGGAGAGCTAATTCAAATGCTTCCAAGAATGCGTGCAATGCCCTATGTTTCAACAAAAATTCATGTTCGTTAGTGAAGCAAACACCAGAAAATATTTTAGAGACTAAACTAAAGCATTCTTTCAAAAATAATCACCAGAGATTGACTAGAAAAAGTGAAAGGAGAGATGGGACAGGTTTGATAATGGGTACAAAAATCACAGCCACACTGAAGAAATAAACTGCAGCTTTCTGGCACACTGAAGGGTGACAGTAGTTGGCAATATTGTACTGTATATTTTGAAATAGCTAGGAGACAGCAGTAGCCTATAATGTTTGAAGAGTCTCATGAACTCATTCCTGGTGCAGAGGATTTTATTAGATAAACTGTGGCTTTTGAGGAAAATAGTGTCAGCCCAAGTGACAAACAAAGCTTCATGTGTATCTTATAGATGATAGATATTTGATATATAGATAGATGTGTGATGTGCATGTTTGTGTGTGCATGTATTTGTATGAATAAGTAACTTAATTAAATATAAAATAATTCCTTAAGACTTTTTCAAATATCCTTAGTGTAATTTAACTCTCGCCCCTTCCTCTACTTCTGTATTGACCTCCCTCACTCATCTCCAATTACAGCTCCCTCCCCATTTTTCCTAATTTTTATCATTTCTCTATTTACATTACGTGTATCCTTTTATTCTGCCTTCTCATTCCCCATGCGTCATTCTATGGAGAGGATTTTGAATGTCTCCTCACAAACAAATGAGAATGACAGTGATTGTGGATGCCCTAAATATCCTCAGTTGATGAACACACAATGTAAGCGTGCTTGAAGACTACTATTTGCATCTCAGCGATGTATGCTTATGACATCAATAAAGTTATTGTGATAGAAATTTTAAATTAGGAAAAAATACACTAAATAACCTTGATGAGAAGAATGCTTTTGGAAAGGTAGCCCTCTGTCAAGAGAGTCACACAATAAAAATTAAAAGAGCAAGTTCTGAAATTTCCAGGAGAACTCAGTAACCCTGTGATGACTTGCTTTCTATAATTGCTTCTTTGACATTCTAATTTGTGTCAGTTTACAAAATCCTAATGAAAATAGGTCACAGTTATCATTTCAAATATATTTACGGGTGATGGTGATGCACAGAGCATTTTCTCTTCTGTGCTTTTTTTCCAAATTATTTTATTCTGTGAACTAATTAGCTTTTATAATGCATTTGCTATTTAAAACAGCCTTTACGTATAGACTGAAATATCTCTTACCATAAACATCAGAAAGGCAAAGGAAGCCTAGGCTTGAGGCTGCCTCTGTGCCCGATACAAATCTGAGACTTAGTCTACCTCAGCCACTGAGCTTAGCCAGTCACAGTCAGGTCCTTCCATGAGGGTGCAGCACTCAACTGTGCACAGGTCAGCTGCTTTGTACGTTTATTTGGCTTTGGTCCACATATGCTGTCTGACCATGCTGAAGCTCCAGAAACCTTGGAACCTGTTCTAGTTCCTCACAGCAGCCTGATTCTACAATTTTAAGTGGAAACCAAATTAAGAGCTTGCTTTCTGAACAAGAACAATAAGTTAAAAATAATTAGTTTAAGCTATTGTCAATTCCTGTTCTAAATGAAGTAACAGGAAAATTATGTATTTACATAACACTGACTATGCCACTTAAGGCACCAGGAGTATAACAAAACACTAAATTGAGCTTATTGACATTATTTGAACCAGCTCCAATCAAATAAATTGCACTGTTTTGCTTTTCTAAATTCCTTGAATATGTTGATTCACACATGTGAAAAAAAACAGGAAGAAAAAAACAAACCTCATGATTAACAGAAAACTAGAGAAATGCTCATAGTTAAGAACACTCAATGTTCTTAAATAGGTCCCATCAATATTCCCAGCAATAGGTCAGAAAAAAACAGAACTGATAAATTGTCTTCATATCAAAGTAAGTGTTTATCCTAGGCACCTTTTATATATTATTTTCATGCATGCTTGTTATTTAAAAATCCCCAAACACAATATTCTGTCATGCAAAACTGAATTGTCCAACTGCCACCACATGTCCATGTTTAACTGAGTGGCCAAAACCAAAAAAGA